CAAAGGAAACGGTTACAGACCAGGCCCAGAACCCGAACCCAAATAACATTGAGCCCATACACCATCGCGTTGCCCCTGGACCCCACTCGCTGACCGGGCAGCGAGACCCCCGATTACCAGTCGTAGCGGCTGATAGTCCGATTCAAGTCATTTCGACATTGGCATATACTACTATTCCCAAACCCTTAAAGATTAAAACATAGGTCTTAATTCTATAAATCTCATATACTAAGATCAATTTAATTAGAAATAAAAATCGACGGTTATGATTCGTCAAAATATATGCAGCAAATTATATGCACAATCTTAGGGGTTAGGCTCTATGATTTAAATAAGGTTAAATACACTTGTATATCCAAAACTTTCATGGTTGTGCCTAGGGGTGCTAAACGGTCGGTAACCGGTTTAACCGGTTACCATTTGACCGGTTTCCGGTATTCCTGAATACTCCTAGCCGTTGCCGTTATCCGATATCGTGAATAGTCGGTATACCGACTGCCGAAAAGAACGGTTTCGGTAATGCATTCGGTTACCCGAATTCCGGCAGGCTGGACTTGCAAGTGGCTTGCTGGGGGCGGGAGGAAATGAACTTTTATTTAGTTTTAAACTTATCCTTGTCCATTTGTGTGATTGTGTCCTCTTGTGTCTTGTCTGCTAGTGCCTAGGGGAAGGAAATAAATATAAAGTACCCACCCACAAAGTGAAATGGGCAAAATGAAAATGGCTGTCTCGAATCTTGATTCCAATTAGAGCACATGGAATGGAAGGAAATAAAAGGTAGTGGAAGTGTGGAACGTGGCTGTCTCGAATCTTGATTCCAACTTCTTCCTTTCAAGTTTCTGTTTCATCACTGCTGTGCTCGGCTACGGCCTACGAGCCTACCAGGTTACCTCTCAAATTGACAATTGACAAAAACTGAAATACAAATATACAATATTGAAATTTGAAAGAATGAAACTACTCGGCTGTCGGCTACACAAACACAGGTTACCTTTCTACCAAAAAAAAAAAACACAGGTTACCTCTCAAATCGACGGAGAGCCGGAGAGGACGAGTTGCTGAGCAGTGCGTTAACCTCCGACGGCGACGGAAACAGAGCAACGGCGAAGGGGCTTGACGAAAACAGACCCTGGCGGAGAGGATGACTGACTGGTCTGGATTTGGGCTGCTGGGTCGTGTCTCTTGGCCCTTGGGTGGAGGCGTGGAGCTTGCGATGGAGACGACGGGGTTCGACCGAGCGACTGGGTTCGACGGAAACAGAGCAACGACGATGGAGCTTGACTGAAACACAGCCTGGCGGAGAGGATGACTGGAGGGCTGCTGGGTCGTGTCTCTTAACAATTGGGTTGAGCTTGGGCCAACGAGGGAGACGATGTTTGGATTGGAATTCGATGAACGGAGAGGGATCTGCGGCCTTGCTCGTGCAGCAGGCAGGGGATAGAAAGAATAACAGTCCGATTTAGTCTTGGTCTCTTAGAGTCTAATTTGTAATTACTTGGGTTAGGTCTTTTTGGGTGGCGCACGTTTAGTTTAGTTATTATTCCTACAAAAGCTAATCGGTGACGGCTTGCCTTCCTTTTCCCAGTCGGTGTCGGAATACCGATCGGCCGACGGTAAATGAGAGATCCGATCCCGGTATACCACCTGCCACAAAAATCCATCCGACTACCGTTTTGCTTCGGTTAACGGTTAACCAATAACCGCGGTTACCGGTACGGTTATCGGTTAAACCGTTAACCGCATTACCGGTTAGCACCCCTAGTTTTGCCAATAATATCCAAATTTGACGAAATACCACTTATAGCCACTTGCGTCGAATTCTTTAACGGTGTCAGCTAATAAGCTGACTGGACAAACGGGAATGCTGAGTTGGCGAGTTTCTCCAGCAAAAATTCCACGCTGGATTAAGTTTAAAAAATAAAAAAGTAAAATAAAAAATAAAAAATAAAAAAGGAGATGAAAGGTCCCCACCAAACGCACACTCCCTCCTTCCCTCTGTGATTACTCAGCTCCACCAATCGTTGCCGCCGCTTCTCCGCCTCGTCGAACCCAAAACTCCACCATTCCTTCGCCCAGATGAGGGGGCCTTTGCGATTTCGAGTGCGATGTCGGCCTATCCTTGTTCTTAACACCCAATTCTCCGAATCCAACCCCAATTCTCCGACGCGATAAGCTCAATCCCTTTGAACTGCCTCTCCTTCTCCTTGGCCATAATCTCAAACAGCTCCGGATCTGCCTCGCAAATCGGCTGGTTTTCCCAAGCCTTCACCGAGCTCTGACGCTCCTGCAAATCCGATTCGCTCGTCATGACTGGCCTCTTGGTCGGACCGCACTGAATTTCGGAATCGGGGCGACGCCTCTTGAAGCACATCGAGTGGCCCAAAATCCGAAACTCCCTCACGTCCTCCTCATCCCCCGGGTTGCGATTCAGCTCCACGGCGGCACCACCGTTCCGTGGCAATTCTTGTTTATCGACTCCAGTAGCCGCAGCGGGAGGTGGTGGATGGAGGCGGCTGAAGAGGCGGAAGAGGGGAAGAACCCTAATTTCAAAATTGGGGAAAAGTTGGGGATTCAGATCTTGCGAAATGGGGGATATTAGGGTAATTTTTTAATAATTATGATGTGTAAATAATAAATAATTTAAATATCTGATGTGTCATTATTTGCCTATTTGGCACTGACGTGTCTGTTGAGTTGGCACCTAGTTAGCGAACCATCAAATAAGTTGACGGTGTTATTAACACCGTTAAAGTTTCTAACGGAAATGGATAGATTTGGCAAAGAAAAACTTTAAAACATGGCTATAAGTGGTATTTCGGAAAATTTGGATATTATTGGCACAACCATGAAAGGTTTACAAGTGTATTAAACCTTTAAATAACTAAGACCTAGGGTTCACTCATCAAGCGTTATAGCATAATATCATGCTCAAAAATCTGGTTAATTCGAGGTCTAAATGACGTTTTCTTACTCAGTGTATGTCGTACCCTAGATTTTGCCCAAAGTACGATAGAAGCCACCATATATGTATGGTGGCTTCTATCGTACACCAGGCAAAAGCTGGTGTATGTCGTATATCATCCAATCTCCACCGTACGCGTCCATCTCAACGGCCAGCATAAATGCAATAAGTTATTTTATAATCCCGCAAAAAATAGAACCAACATTAATTTTAACCATTGAGATGCTTCTCAACAGTGGAGATTGTCTGTGTACGACATACACCAATTTTTTCATGGCGTACGATTCAATTGATCCCACACATATATATATCTTGAAGAATTAATTTGGTAATATATGAATATAGATTATTGAAGTTGTTTTAAAATATGTCAAATATATGTATAATCTATTTGATATTAGAGGTTTTCTCACATATTATGTTAAACCGACTTAAACTGAGCGAACTCGATTGACCTTAAAACCTTAAAGCATTTGTCAGACAGACTTAATGGCTTATTTAACATCCTTGATAAAGGTAGAACGTAACAGTACATGCTTGACTAAATTATATCCATAATGGTTCCCAATCACACAAAGCCACGGTACATGTAATTTAAATTATGGATTATGTAGATTCTGGGTTACCCAATTGTGTCTTTGGCAACTTGAACAATACGGGACCCCCAATTGTATAGATTATAGACATCTTTTTCATGGCACACATTCAGAAAAACAAAAACAAAAATCACGTTGCTTGCCGCACACGAATTGGCCCATTTAGACCCAACTTGATGGAGACAAAACGCAGAAAAAGATTAGCGTAGAGTAGATTATATTATATGCGCCGGTGTTTGAGGCCGTATCTGCGTCGCCCTGAATTGGGCCGCCTTTGTTAGGCCCATTCGGCGGTCTAAGTTGTCCAGCGGGGCGGTTTGAAGCAAAACGTAAGGCTTCATTAAATTGGTTGGAAATGACAGGTTTGCCCTTCCGGGGAACCCTCTGGTTGCTGCATTTTTTAAATCCTGAAAATCTGACCCATGTTTTGCTATTATAATTTTTGTAGATTACTTGGGGGGAAAAAAATTAACAATCATGAAGCTTGTGACGATCTTTAAAGCTTTGGGGTTGCTAATTGTCGCCCTAGTTTTTTTGTAATCGCCCTAAATTTAGACTGAAAATCACTTCTTTACCCTTTTCTGAATTTAATTTTATATTATTAAAAGCAAATCCAATGTCCAATCACCTTCCTCTTTATTAAGTTGGCCAGATAGTATATATCCAATGTCCAATCACCTTCCTCTTACCCTATGTTTGGTCCGGCTTTTAGAAGTGCTTATCGGGTTCAAAAGCTTAAGCAGGGCCAAACACCTGTAAAAACTCGGTTTTTGAAAAGCCGAAAAGCTCTTTTGTTTCCTTGCGCAGTTGACCGACAAGTCCCCGTCGGCGTGGCGATCTTGACTAGAGTAGAGCAATCTCCTTTGTTTTCTGCGTTGATTCCAAACAAGCCTAGGGGGATGTTTTAGTTGGGTGGCTCGCCAATGCTGCAAGTGAGAATTTGTTCCTTGCACAGTTGATTTTAAATGTTTCTATTGCTGGGTTTCTCCCTTGGTTTCACTGTGTTAGCTGGTCAAGACGCCTCCGGGAGCAAAATCCCATCTCCGAAGAAGGCTGGGGGATGAAGATGATGGAGGATTATTAAAGGTAAAGTTACGGTGACAAAGAAGATGAAGAAACTGCAGTGACGTTTTTTTGTTGTTTTTCCTTTTGTTAATTAAATGTTAGTTTAGTAATTTTATATATTAAGTTAGGGCGATAAAGGTAAAGTTAGGGCGAGGTTTAGCCATTCAGTTTTTAAGACGCCTCTCCCGTTAAAAAAAAAAAGTTAATATTAGTTCTTTATGATAAAATTTATCAAAGTTAATTTTTTTTCTTACAACTATCAAAGTTAATTACAATCTCTCTATAAAACACCATGATATGGAAGTAAATAAAAACAATACTTTTTATTTTGATAAGAAAATAAAACAAAACTATTCTTTAAAGAAAAAGAAAAACCACGCTAAGGAATTAAACAAAAGAGAAAAAAAAGGAGATCTTCATCTTCCTTCCCAACAGGTTGAATTCCGGGCAGCTGTTAGATTCCTGATTCAGCAAACCAATTGCTTCCTCAATTTCCCGACGAACTTACCAGTCAAGCTCTCCCATCCTCCCATCGCCATTCTCAAGCTACGCTGCTATCAATTCCCCTCCGCCACTTTCCGAGCTCGCGCCTAATCGTTGCCGGGTGAGCCGGCATGGCGGGGCCGAACATGGATCAATTCGAGGCTTACTTCAGACGAGCAGATTTGGACGGCGATGGAAAGATCAGTGGAGCTGAAGCTGTTGCTTTCTTCCAGGGATCCAATTTGCACAAACAAGTCCTTGCTCAGGTTCACTTCCCCTTTTCCGCCTTTTCTCCCAATTCTCTGATCAGTGTTCGAGTTTTTCTTAGATTAGTTATTGAACATTCCCGTGCCTGGAGCCAATTCGGAACTGTCGATTGATTAGTATCCAATTTTAATGAACGGAGTTAGATCTGTTCTAAGTCAAATGAGGAAAGTAGTTTCCCTGAGTGCTAGAATCTCTATGGGAGGAAGTTTTTTTTTTTTTTTTATCACCTTAGGATGTACTTATGGCACTTGAAAGAGGAAACGAGATGGTATGTAAGAACAAACTAAAGTTGGCACTGGCTATAATGAATGGGCCAAAACTCATTATGATGTTGTCTATGGTTTGCTGAGTGTTTCTGTGATGCGGGTTGCAGATTTGGATGCATGCTGATCAAAGTCGCAGTGGCTTCCTCGGTCGAGCAGAATTTTACAATGCTCTTAAGCTCGTGACTGTTGCACAGAGCAAGAGAGAGCTGACACCTGAGATTGTGAAGGCTGCGCTATATGGTCCTGCTGCGGCCAAAATCCCAGCACCACAAATTAATCTTGCAGCTGTGCCTGCAGCTCAAGCGGGCTCAATGGGTGCTCAACAGATGGGCATGCCTGCCTCAGCGTCAACTCAGAGTCCTGGCATTAGACCACAAGGTGCTCCAACAATGGGTATGAACCCAAATTACTTTCCATCTCAACAAAATCAGTTTATGAGACCAGGTCAGCCGATTACTCCAGTATCTGGCCCTCGGCCACCTCAGGCAATTGCTCCTGTGGCAGCCCCTCGACCACCTCAGATGATTTCTCCTGCAGCTGCTCCTCAACTGCCTCAGGCTAGCATGATGGTTAGCTCTCAGCCAATGTCTACTGGTACTGCTTATCGTCCAACCCCCCAATCCATGGCTGGTGCTGGTGGTGGTCTTGGTGCATCAACTTCTGGTATTACGACTGATTGGCTGGGTGGAAGAAGTGGCGTATCTATACCTGGTGCTGGACCTAGAGCTGCCAGCCCAACTACTAGTTTGCAGCAACTAACTCCAAGTTCTATGTCTTCACCATCTATTGTTACTGACTCCAAAGCTATAGTGTCTTCTGGCAATGTGTTGGCAACTACTTCTTCCTTCGGAGATGACATGTTCTCAGTTTCTCCTTCTACAAAAAAGCAGGATCCTCCAAAACCAATTTATTCTGCTGCGAATCCATCTCCGACATCTGCTCTTGCCCCGGTCTCTTCCCTTGGTCAAGCCCCTATCAAGTCCAACTCGCTTGGCTCGTTGCAGGATGCTTTTTTTCAGCAATCCCTTGGCGGTCTTCAACGGGCCCAATCATTGCCGACAATAGGGCAGCAGGTTTCTGCTTCAAGTTCTGCTTTACCTGCGTCACCTGTGACTTCTGTTGGACTAGGAAGTACCTTAGACAACAACTCCCAGCCTGTGTGGCCAAAGATGAAAGCAGCAGAAATTCAGAAGTACACGAAGGTGTTCATGGAAGTAGACACGGACCGGGATGGAAAGATTACCGGTGAGCAGGCGCGCACCCTTTTTCTAAGCTGGAGGTTGCCAAGAGGTAATTGCTCTTTGATTTACGATGCCTCTTGTCTCGCATTCTCTGTCCATATAAAATTTATTTGCTCGCATAGTGCTTGGTTCAGAAGTAGTGTACTGGATAATGGCATTACAGGGAACTAAATGTTTGATGTGGTGTTGCTTACTATAGTTTCTTAAACCATATAGGTAACTACTTGATTTCTTACTTTGTGTCCTGGTGCTTATGATATGACAGATAATTGAAAATCTTTGACCTAGGTTTCTATGTGAATATCTTACTACAGTAACAAATCCCTACTGTACTCAGTGGTTTAAGTATATTAACTGGTATAATGCCTCTGCTTTCAGAGGTCTTGAAGCAGGTCTGGGATTTGTCTGACCAGGATAGTGATAGCATGCTTTCTTTGAGGGAGTTCTGCTTTGCTCTCTATTTAATGGAAAGGTTCAGGGAAGGTCGTCCTCTGCCACCCTCCCTCCCCCGAAATGTGATGTTCGACGAAACACTGATGTCAATGACAGGCCAACCTAAGGTTGCTTATGGAAATGCTGCATGGGGGCCTGGTGCTGGTACAGCTTTTCTTCTAGGATTGGTTTTTCAGCCCTCCATTCTTCTACTTTGGCATCTGAGATTTTTGTTGATATTTGTGGGTGTTGCTATTTGGCTAGGTTTTGCTCAGCAGCCAGGAATGGGCCCTCGACCACCAATGGGTCCTGCACCTGGCTTGAGACCACCAGCTCCAGTACCTGGACCTCAGCATGATGTTGCAGCCATGTCCAGTCAGAACAAGTCTGGAGCTCCTGTGTTGGATGACTCCTTTCTGAGTCGTGAGAATGGCGATTCTGGGAATGCAATCCCGCAAGATGCAACTACAGAGAAAAAGGCACTTCCTCGTATCATGTTTCTGTGCTATTGAAATTTTCTTTTCATTTGACCTTTTGCTGCTTCTGAAAACAGTCCAAGATGGCGTGTGAAACCTATTGCCTTATGTGAAGAATAATGGAATCAGATATATAGCTGTTATTATGACACTCTAGGTTGATTACGCTATATGTGCAGCATAAATTTTTTTCTTGTATCTTATGTAGGCTGAAGGAGCAGAGAAGTTGATATTGGATTCCAGAGAGAAAATTGAGTACTACCGCAGTAAAATGCAGGATCTTGTAAGTATATAATTTTTCTTCTTCTTTGTTATACTTCTTAAAAATACAGGTTTGTATCGAGGAAATTGAAAGGTGTGTGCATACCAGGAGATACGAAAGAAAAATGACCCCTATAGAGTTGAAAGAACTTCGTTTTCGGGTGTAATTGGGTGGTCGGAGTAAGTTGAATGACTCTGTTCAAACCAAGCCAAGCAGTCAGTAGTCAAATAAAATCATATAGAATCCAAACTTCACATTATATAGAATCTTCTATGCTGACAAAAGTGCTTGATTATCTGATAAACATTGTACTAGCAGGATTTGTAGCCATGAAATTATGCTCTAGGCCTTTAATCCCCAACACAACTTTGGCATATAATTTTTGTTAATATGGTAGAAGTGTGAACCTCCTGCTGTCACTTGCTTTGTATCATATCCTTATCCTTCCCCAAGTCCCATAAAATCCTACATGTCATCATATCATGGATCTTATACCCTTTTCTGGTTCTTATTTTATTTATTTTATGTATTTAGTATTTTTTTTTTTTTTTATGAATCTGTTCTTATTATGTCTGGATTGTTTTGTAGGTTCTATATAAGAGCAGATGTGACAATCGGCTTAATGAGATCACAGAAAGAGCACTAGCAGATAAGCGTGAGGTATGTTAATTGAGTTCAAGCCTACTTATCATCTTCTGGGATCTGACTTCTATTGTAAAAACTCGGGTGTCTTAAAACTTGCTTGACAGGCTGAAATCTTGGGTAAGAAGTATGAAGAAAAGTACAAGCAGGTTGCTGAAGTGGCCTCTAAACTAACTATTGAAGAAGCCCAGTTTCGGGATATTCAGGTAACAAGTTCCTTTCACTTCTTGTGTAAACTTCAGTGATGGGTTAGTGAGACTGGTCTATGAGTCTCTAGTCTAGTTGATTTTTATATTCAGTTATATTTTCAAGGAAAAAATATTCACATTGTGGTTAGATAAACGTGCTCACCAAAGTTTGTGTCCGTACCATTTTGGGTTCGCCAGTTTTATGCTTTTACTGTTAAGAATATTTTGTATCAGTTGTCCAGAAATGATACTGTCAACTCATGTATTAAATATGAATAATCGACTGGCTGATAGGAACGAAAGAAGGAGTTGCATCAAGCAATCGTTAACATGGAACAAGGTGGCAGTGCCGACGGCCTTCTTCAGGTATTTACTTACAGCAGCTTTCCCAATCACAATTCAGATACTAAGAGGTGCCCCTAATTTTTCCTTGCTCAATTCAATGTATTTTTACAGGTCCGTGCAGATCGTATACAGTCAGATCTGGATGAATTGACGAAGGTTTTAATCGAACGTTCCAAGAAGCACAATTTGGATATCAAGTCGACTGCTATGGTCGAGCTTCCATTTGGTACTCCAATCCTAGGCGAATCTTTTAACTTATTATGAAATGTGGTGTTTCAGTTTTAACCAATCCTCAATTACTCATTACCAATCACTCTGACATGACACCGGTTCTAACTTGGGCTCTTTATCCTCCACCTGTGTTTTCTTATTCGATGATTACTAAGGATGGCAACCTGGAATTCAAGAAAATGCCGCTCCTTGGGATGAAGAATGGGATAAGTTCGAAGATGAAGGTATGCTTAATCAATTTCAATGAAGATATCTTACACCTTGTAATTTACCAGATGAAAACAAAAACAAAAAAAAATTACTATGCCCGTATGTCTGTAGATAGAGTGATAGACTTTGATCACCCAGTTTAAAATATAATCTTTACCATTATTCTAATAGTGTGACAAAACTAAATCATAACGAATTCATTCTGATGCTTGTGAGGAAAATCCATTTCATACCCCCTGAAAAGTGGGGTATGCTAGTCAAATCCTATACCAAATGTTTAAGAATCTATCCGAAGTGCTGTCATATGTGGTATCTATACCTCCAATAAGTTTCTGTAAATAATGTCGCTAAAGATCTAAATCTGTGTTTGGTCAGGTTTTGGCCATGATCTCACTATTGATGTGAAAAACGTTTCTGAGGCTGCAAACGGAACAGCCAATGCTGTCCAAAATGGAATAGCATCGCCAAGTGGTAGCTTAACTCCAGATTCTTTGTCCAACGGTGATGCAAAATCCGGGAACTTCAGAAATACTCATGATCAGGAGCATAACCTCGAGGAGAATGAATCTGCATACACTCACAGTGAAGTTGAATCGGTGGCACGCAGCCCTCATGGAAGCCCTGCTGGAAGGACCCCTTCACGGGACTTCTCTGATGTTTTTGCAAAGAGCACTGAAGGAGATTCAGAAGTTCATAGGTATATACATGTCCCTTCATTTTTCAGTATCTTCCTTTCTGTAGTGTTACCTTTGCTGATCTTGAAACTGTATTTGCTCTGTCTGGAATTTAGAAGTTTCGACGATTCAGCATGGGGTGCAGCATTTGACTCAAACGACGACGTGGATTCGGTATGGGGATTTAATCCTGCCAGCGCCAAGGTTTGTCCTGAAACCTCCTTAAGTAACTAAAAAGTAAAAAAGCTAACTAGACTAAGTAGTTGGTAGTGACTTTATCTTGTTCCGTCTACTACGTCATTAGTTCAGGCGAGTCCCCATGCATAATAACCTCTCTGCGTTGCTGAAATCTCACAATTAGAGTCCAAGCACCCACTTACGAACTTATAATTCGATTCGTGGCAATTTTAGAGACGCGGCCAACCTATGTGACATGCTAACTCAGTCGTAATAATGGCTGGTAGGCAGAATAAGACACATCAACTGTTCTGTATTACATAACCATTTAGTTTCCAGTTGGCACTTCGTTAAGTTTATTAGTTTAGTGGTTATTTTCCTTACAGACCTATATTTTACTGTCCATTTAGGCATTTAACCCCTAAAATGTAGTTATTCCAAAGCATTAACTAAAGCTTTACCCATTTTGTATCACCACAACTTTGTCATTGTCAACAGGATACTGATTCAGAGAAGCACCAAGACTTCTTTGGCGGCGATGATTTCGGCATAAAGCCAATAAGGACATCTGGATCTCCAACCAGCACAACAGACCACATTTTCCAGAAGAAGAGCATATTCTTTGAGGAATCTGTAGCTGGCTCTCCCATGTCCAGGTTTGCCAACTCTCCGAGGTTTAGTGAAGCCGGTGACCAATTTGACAGCTTCTCGAGGTTCGACTCCTTCAGCATGCACGACGGTAGCGGGTTTTCGCCACAGAAGGCAACGCTTTCAAGGTTCGACTCCATAAATAGCAGCAAGGACTTTGGTGGTGGTGGTGGATACGACCGTTCATTCTCTTCGTTCGATGATGGAGACCCTTTTGGGTCCAGTGAGCCTTTCAAAGTTTCCTCTTCGTCGGACCACCATCACAGTCCTAAGAAAAGCTCTGACAGTTGGAATGCCTACTAGCCAAAAGCCAAATCCCTATCTTTTTCTCCCTTCAATGGGCTGAAAATGTGTCCAGTTTTACCACTCCGGAGTTTGCTGATTACTCCAGTATATTAATACCATCGAGAGAGGAGGGATTGTTCAGTGTTGTCGGCGGCAATGGATATCTTCATTTTGGAAAAGGAATGCTTGCTTTTGTTATGTATAGCGTGAGCTGAGAATTGTACTAGTGTAGAGCTTGGTTGACATGACTGGAAGCCTGTTGTATTTCTTGCGGTTTTTGTTCTTTAGATTCGCATTGTATCATGTATTCATGTGCTTCTCTCTTCCTTTTTCTTGTTGGTCAATTTTGGATGGAACTCTAGGGTACATAAATTTACAAAAAAAGAACAGATGTTTTGTTTTGTTCTGTTTTAGGCTTTTAGCCTGTGAATTCCATGCAATCTTATTGATTTGTTTCTGTTTGGATAAGATGTGACGAGCTCACAAATCCCAAAATTTGCCATTATGGTAAAATATCTCCTTTGGCAAATATGAAAAACAGATATTTTGATTAGGACTGGCTATTTGGTCCCGGATTATTTGGTTTTACTCGAAACTGGACCATATAACCCGGACCGGGACCGGACTGGGACCGGATAGCAAACAATCCAATCTCATATTCGGGCTTAGATTTGAGGTAAAAAAAACCCGGATAAAGACTGGATAAGAGACCCCCCAACACCTAAAATCAAAATCAAATTGGGACCGGACCGGGTCAAGACCGGACTGTATCCAATCCAATCTTTGGTCCTTATATTCCCGAAAAGACCGGACTGAAACCGGATCAATTTGGTGCAATTTAACCGGACCGGACAGTATAGTCACCCCTAATTTTGATGTTACCGTATCTTCTTCGAGTCTTTTCGCAATGTCTATGTATGATCATTATGGAAGGATGACACATAAATTGAGAAGGAAAAGTTGAAACCAAAACAAAAGATATCAGGGATTTTGTGTAAGCCACAGGAACAAGAAGATGATGCAAAGAATCATAGGAAAATGGTATTTTTTTTTAGGATGAACTTTTGTACATTCAACCATGAACTCATGATCATTGCAAGAAGAACAGATCGGAATGCTTGATGGGGCTAAGAAGTACTGGCTTGTAAACACCTGATTATCAACCTCTATGTGACCCTCTTCGCACCCTCCAACAGTCTTTGGACTTGATCTGACGCAAGAAGGATCTCCGAACGAAGACTAGCTATCTCTACAATCATCTCTATTGCTGCATAACCATGTGAACATTAGTAAGCGACACAGTCGTCATCACCAAAATTTTAGCTGGTTTACTTAGGTACATTAGTTTACCTTTCTCAAATGACAGTTGGGAAGCTTCGGAGAAACCAGTGTTCCGAACACAGCAAGGGTTTTGGACCGCTCATTCTTGACCTGCCAGACACCATAATGTTAAATTAACTTCATATGAGCAATCAATCCCATTTGCAAAGATCATTTCAATTCCAGAAGCGTGACAACTGATAATTAGTAGCTTCGTCATTCCAGTTCTAATTGAACCCTCTATCTACGATGAAACCACAGGGGTGTTCTTTCCTTTATATTAGCCCGACCAAAAGAACAACTTCAACATAGGTACTCACCCTGTCATCACTCTCAAGCTGAGCTCCATTTTCAGACTTGCTAGCATCTTCTGTAAGGCGAAAAGAAAACTAAGCCGCAACTCGACAGAAAGCTAACTGATATGGCGGATTAAAAAGTATTGACAAGTATATTGTGTTTTGGAGAAAAAGTTAGGCGAGACCACCTGAGACTGAGGTGTCACCACTTGAGGCTCAGGTGAATAGGTGGGAAGAAAGTACCACGTGTTGGCACCTGAGACTGAGGTGTCACCTCCTAACCCTAAACCCTGAATCCAAAATCAACGAATTTCGTATCAGTTATTCACACCACAAATGGCTAATGGGTAAGAGACATATTTATTTTTTTAATTATATTATTCAAATGCTATTATGATTGTGTTTAGTTTAATTAGTGGGTTTTTCTGTAGTGATTTTAAAAGATTTGAACTAGTCGTTCGGTGGAAATCGAAGAAAGTAGAGGATAATTTGGGCGTCAAATTCGTTGGTGGTGGTAATTTTCAGTTGACGATTTTTCAAATGTAATAGTTGTGGTTTGAAGTAGTTGTTGTTTTTCAAATAGTTGTTATGGTTTAAGAAGGTTGTTGTAGTTGTTGTTTTTCAAATGTAGTAGTTGTTGTTCTTGGCCAAATTATAAAATGTCCGAGTTGTTGTTTGTTATTTGTTGTTCCGAATAGTTATCGCTAATAACATCATATATGAATGTAAAAATAGTTCAAGGAATAGACCACATAAATAGTTCACATAATAGTCTGGCTTAGACCAGTCCACATAAATAGTTCACATTATGTGTTATGTGGACTATTATGTGAACTATTTATATGGACTATTCCTTGAACTATTTTTACATTCATGTATGGGGGTGCGGATAGTATAACAACACCTTAAGTGTTGTTATAATAACAATAGGATTCATTAAGGGTAAAAGGGTAAATAACAATAAAAATAATCAATAAAAATTAACCTTAAGTATTTCCCGTTCACTCTGATAGGTCCCGTCTCCTTCACACTCGCCTCCTTCACACTCGCCGCCGCCCAGAAAGAGCAAGCCGGACGTCCTCTTCGTCTACAACCACCGAAACTTCCTCGACCCGGTCGTCACCGCCGTCGCACTCGGCCGGAAGATCAGCTGCGTCACCTACAGATTTAGACGAAGAAGGGAGCTCCCATGGGAGCGCATTGCCTTTACCGCCATCGAAGCAACGTCTGCAACCACCGCACCGTCCTCGACCCGGTCGTCACCGCCGTCACACTCGGCCGGAAGATCAGCTGCGTCACCTACAGATTTAGACGAAGAAGGGAGCTCCCATGGGAGCGCATTGCCTTTACCGCCATCGAAGCAACGTCTGCAACCACCGCACCGTCCTCGACCCGGTCGTCACCGCCGTCGCACTCGGCCGGAAGATCAGCTGTGTCACCTACAGATTTAGACGAAGAAGGGAGCTCCCATGGGAGCGCATTGCCTTTACCGCCATCGAAGCAACTGAGGGCGACGTATTCGTGCAACAACTTCGTGGCAACAACGTTCATTTCCAGGAAGAATCTGACTAAAGCGATGAGCATGAATCTTAAGAGGAATGTGTCGGAGGCGAAGAAGCAGGATCGAGAGGAGAGGAAGAACAAGAGGGAGAAGATGAGGAACGAGGATTCGGTGTGGATGAAGACCATTATATTAGGGGAGAAATGTAAGGTTCCGGATCAAGAAGACGACATGGATGTCATCTTTGACGGGAAAGGGAGGAAAGTTTCGACTTATCACCCCAGGACAATGAGCTCTTATGGCTTGTCGAGAACCAATTCCTCCATTGATCACACTGCGATTCCTTCATCTTCACAGTCATTGGATGGAGGAGACCATCATCAACGTAAAGTAAGCAATGGGAATAATATGGGGAAAAGGGAAGGAGATAAAACAAACCACAAAAAGTATACCATGAACCTACTAATGCAAAGCACAAGTCTCCTAAAACATACCAGAAATTCCACAAAGAATACCATAAATATTTCTAATGGACACCAGAAACCTCATAATGCAAACCACAAACACGATAAAGCAAAGCACAAAAACAAACCAGAAACGTCCTAATGCAGACCAAAAATCTATTAAAACAAACCAGAAACCCCGCAAAGCAAACCACAAATTTTTTGAAAGCAAACCAGAAACTTCTCAATGCAAATCACAAACACGATAAAGCAAGCCAGAAACTTCTTAATGCAAACCACAAACACGATAAAGCAAACCACAAAAGGCATACAAAAATATGAGAAACCAAACCATAAATCTCACAATGCAGACCATAACATCCGGTGGTCGTTGACCGTTGACGGGACAACGAAGACCGTTGACCGGTCAACAAAGTTCATTGACCGAACTCCGATGACCGTCAGTGAGCAGATTCCGACGTCGATAGGCATATTCCGGCCCCGATGACTAGATTCCGACGCCGGTAAGGATATTCCAGCGACAAGTAGCATATTCCGGCGACAAAAAGCATAATCTGGCGACAAAAAAGCATATTCCGGTGACCGACGACCAAATTCCGGCGACCGGTGGCCGAATTCCGACGACCAAAATTTTGGGCCGAATATAATAAAAGAATTTATTTTTTATGATTTTTAAACAGATTTTTCATAATGACAATTATACCCCTGCTTTGATTTTACACTAGGTCAATTCATCTAATAAAAAGTCATCACAACCCTAGCTTCCTATTGGTTGGAGACTAGTGTTGTTACAATAACAACACAAGGAGTGTTGTCATAGTATCTAGTCGACTAGTCCCCATGTATGATGTTATTAGCGATAACTATTCGGAACAACATATAACAAACAACAACTCGGACATTTTATAATTTGGCCAAGAACAACAACTATAGGTGTCAAAACATGACCCGACCCGAGTAACCCGCCCAACCAACCCGATCCGCGACCCGCCCGCAACCCGATTGGACTAAAAGTCAAAGACCCGCAACCCGCCCGACCCGCAACCCGCTTGACCCGCAACCCGCTTGACTCGCAACCCACTTGACCCGCAACCCGCTTGACCCGAACCCGATTGACCCGCAACCCGATTGACCCGCAACCCGATTGACCCGTAACCCGCTTGACCCGTAACCCGACTAACCCGAACCCGATTAACCCAACCCGAACCCGCCCGATTGGCACGAATAATACTAGATAATATATTTTGTGCATAAATATTATATGTAGACAATATATATATAAAGTTTACGTGACTTGCCCTATTATTTTTTCATCTTTCCCACAAAGAACAAAGGTTTATTTTGTGTTGACAAATGGCAACTGTCATTAAATTGAATCACATAAACGTGTTATTAAACAGAGTATTTACTAACTATGATGTATAGGGTATACGGTAGTGGACTCGTGGTTTAGAGTTTGGAGGATTAGGACGTATGTTCTTCTCAATAACTGAATACAAAATTTACTTAACTAACATTCTTCACATATCATACGCTATAGTTTATACTTTATACCAACAATTCTATAATACATAACTATAGTTCATGGTTTAAGGTTAGTGTATAGGGTATATGGTAGTGGACTCGTGGTTTAGAGTTTGGAGTCATAGGACGTATGTTCTTCTCAATAACCGAATATAAAATTGACTCAAATTACATTCTTCACATAACATACGTTATAGCTTATACCAACAATTTCATAACATATAACTATAGTATAGGGTATAGCCGAATAAGGCCATGGTCTAGAGTTCAGTGTTTGCCTGTTTGGTTTGTGGACTTATAGTTAAGGGTTGAGGTTAGTTTTAGGGTTAATTACTTAACGTTGTGATTTAGGATAATGTATGGTTGATGGTTAAGGTTAGTTTTAGGTTTCGGATTTAAAATGGTGTTATAGGGTTAGGATTTAAGGTTTAGGGTTAGGGTTTAGGGTTTCTTCATGGTTAGGGTTAGGGTTTAGGGTTTCTTCATGGTTATGCTTTATGATAGATATTTTGGTTTTTATAGTTTATTAATTAATTTGATTTTAACAATTAATTTAACTTGTGAATGTACATCTTAAATATATCATATTCAAATGACATTCCGACCAACGAATTGAACAACAAACTAGTTACACTACAGAAAATACTACTTTTCCCTACCGTTTGTTGACTACCATATTAAAGACCGTAGTTAATAAGAAAAAATTACCTAAAGTATCTAATACGGTAGCCAATATTATCATACAGTAGCTATTATGAGGAATTACAGTAGTTGTTGTTCTTGAAATACTAAGCTGAAGTTTTACGGTAGCCTTTACTTTTTTTATATAATAAACTTTTTCTTCATATGTATTTGTTGGCCATCCTAAAAATTGGAATGGGTTTGCTGAAGCCTGAAAGAGCTCGATCCGGGTCACGTAGTGGAAGACATTGTTTCCTCCGTCGATATTAGTTAATCAACGACTGTTATGAAGGATTTGTTTTAGACGTGGATAGCTGACTTGGATATGCCTTCGTTTTGTGGAAAAAATCTTCCTTCCTTATCTCTTCGTAGATCGCAGGCCATTCATTCTCCACCTCCATCAAACTTGAACTCCTTAATCGATTACCTCCTAGCCTGCAAATCGTTTTCCAGTGGTGATCTCCAAAGATCTCCATCATCTCTATCCCTACTCCCTAGCATCTCCAACCGTCTCCAGCACTCTCTTCCTTTCCTTTCTCTCTCTGCCTCGGCAAAAAACTTTTCCCTTTCCCTACGCCTTTTCTGCGCCTTCCCTTCTCTATAGATCGGTAAAAAAAATCCTCCCATTCACTATCAATCGGCCATTCTCCATCTCCATATTCTCACCAGTCACTGTCGTCAGCCGCCGGTAACAGCCCGCCCTCGCCATTCGCAGCAATAGCTATCGATTTTCTCAGGTACGTCTATCCCGCTCTTCATCCTATAACAAAGCAAAAAGGGAAAGAAAATAACATTGAGGAAGAATGAGGAACAAGAAAGGAACTAGAGGATTGTGCTATTTGGCTGGAGGGGAACTTCCTTAGTTCTATTATGCTCGCAGAATCGCAGATCTTGTTCTGCTTGTTCTGTCTGGCAGATCTTGTTCTATTTTATGAATGCGAATATGCGATGAACATGACTCCAATTTATTGTTGAATTTTATTGATTGTTTTAATTGATTGGAGTTGTGTTTTCCACCGAGCATTTCCCCTAGTTTGATCGGTTTAAATTTATATTCGTCTATTTGGTATAGAAAGAAAGAAGTGAACGGGAGAAGAGCAAACTCGGCTTCCCCTGTTCTTTAAGTTCCTCTGTTCTGAACTTTCCTTTGTTCTGCTATTTCTCTTGAAAAGTTCGTCGGAGGTGGAGAAACCTAAAGTCCAAAATACACCTGAATGGAACCGGGTCTTTGTTGTTGTTAAAATGGAAGATCTCTCCCACCATATTGATTTGAGTACAGGTATTGGGTGGCGGCTGATCAATTCTAATTGTTAATCTTTGTTTTGCACCTCGTTAATGATATTGATAATAATGTAATGGGAATGGACATGGTTCTTTCAAGTTTAATAATTATTAATTAATGATGAATCCAGTTTAATAATTAATTAGTGCTTTGCAAGAGGACAACAAATAGTGCTTTACAATTTGGATTCTAGTAGTAATTTGTAGTTTGAGAAGAAGAAGAAGTTCCAGCTCTTGGCCATAGTAAGTAAGCTCCAGTAGTTGTTATAGTTAGGTTTTGGTGGGTTTAACAGATAAGAGAAGGAGGGCAGGTAAGGAAACGGGAATCTGTCTGGTATGTGCTGGAGACTAGCGAGTGTATTGCTTCTGTTTAAGAAGTGTTCTTGTAATTAGAACGAAACAATTTTCGTAGTTTCAATATGTTATCGTGTTTGTTGCTTCTTAGATGAAACTTTGTAGGATTAGTCCAAAAATGAGTAAATTCCTTAGATGAAACTTCAGTAGTCATGTTATCGTGTTTGTTGCTTCTTGCTTGATTGATTATGTAATTCTTTTCTTTTCGTTTCTTTTTTAGGAGCAATGGACGCTAGGGCTAGAAGAAGCAAAGTTTGGGAGAATTTAACTCAAGTTGAATCAGAGGAGGAGGTCAAGCTTCAATGCAACCATTACATGAAGGTTTTTGGATGCAATCCTAATAAGAATGGGACAGTTTCACTATGGAGGCATCTTAAGATGTGCACTAAGGGAAATTTTCAAGATTAATGGAGCCTTATGTACTTTACTGTATTTCCTTCATTATATTTGCTTAAATGTTATGTAATAGTCTCAACTCTCAACTATCAAGACTCAAGAGATGGGCTCATTGGTTTATGATCAAGCAAGTTGTCAGCTTTTTAATTTCTTGTTGCTCAACTATTTATTTATGTTGGTTTTGTAACCTTAATGAATCCTCTACAAGGTACCAACAACTAGGAACATAAAACTTGTTAATGTTATATTCAAGCAAAATATAGTCACTCATTTGTTTAATAATGTACCTTCATGTTTTTTTCATTGCAATATGGTGATCGGTGAGTTTGTTTTAAATTAGTGTAATAACTAATTATTAAAAAAACTCGATGGTTTGGACCGAACAACCCGCAACCCGACCTGTTGTAACCCGCAATCCGATCAACCCGAACCCGATTGATCCGCAACCCGATCAACCCAAAACCCGATTGATCCGCAACCCGATCAACCCGAACCCGATTTGCCCGCAACCCGATCAACCCGCAACCCGATCAACCCGCAACCCGCTTGACCCGCAACCCGTTTGACCCGCGACCCGACTGAACCCGACCCGAACCCGCCCGAACCCGCCCGATTGACACCTATAACAACAACTACTACATTTGAAAAACAACAACTACAACTACAACAACCTTCTTAAACCATAACAACTATTTGAAAAACAACAACTACTTCAAACCACAACTATTACATTTGAAAAATCATCAACTGAAAATTACCACCACCAACGAATTTGACGCCCAAATTATCCTCTACTTTCTCCGATTTCCACCGAACGACTAGTTCAAATCTTCTAAAATCACTACAGAAAAACTCACTAATTAAACTAAACACAATCATAATAGCATTTGAATAATATAATTAAAAAAATAAATATGTCTCTTACCCATTAGCCATTTGTGGTGTGAATAACTGATATGAAATTCATTGGTTTTGGGTTCAGGGTTTAGGGTTAGAATTAGGATTGTTCTTCGTGGTGCCACCTCAGTCTTAGTTGGTGACACCTCAGTCTCAGGTGCCAACACCTGGGACTTTCTTCCCCCCTATTCACCTGAGCCTCCAGTGGTGACACATCAGTCTTAAGTGGTCTCACCTAACTTTTTTTCCAAAACAGAATATACTTGTCAATACTTTTTAATCCGCCATATTGGTGGTAAATTAAAAAAAAAAAAAAACAATATTTGTGTCATTTATGCCCCTAATATACTAGCCCTGTGAAAATTTTCGTAGGGTTTATCTAAATTTGGGGATTTTGGCGGGCTTAAGCGGTTGAAGAGTGTAACAATGGAGGGAATGGTGAAGAATTATCAGCAGCGATTCAGAAGGGTAAAGGATGAAATGGAGAGATGGGAAGCTCTTCAATCCCGTCTTCTTTCCCAATTCAGGAACGCTTCTTCCATCGTCGACCGCTTACAGGTGAGCTTTCTATCCTGCTTTACTTGCTGAATCTCTGAAGCAAAAGTTATGGGCTTGAGACCTTGAGTTCATTATCTGTTTAACGGGCAGGCGATTCAAAGATCTGCCAATTACGGACCTCTGAATAGCATCAATGGAGTAAAAGATGCTGTTTTCAGAAAGCAGATGGAGTCACTTGGCGCCATTTTCCGCTGCATGAACACAACACTGTAAGTTTCTTCAATTTGATTACCTGGACAGTTGATAAGTTTGAACTGGGTTTCTGCATTTTCAGGGAAGAGTTTCATCTTATTGTATTGTCTCTTGAGAAGATGCATCGCGATGGTAAACAGTTGGTAAGCAGGGGTTCTGCACTGGCTATCACTACCAAGCAATTGCAGCTTCGAATTGGAGTTAAACCGTCACTAGCCTATTGCTTGGACGGCCTTCTGAGTCTTCATGATATGCATCAATCCGAGTAATGGCTGTGTTTATTTCTGTACAGAGTTTTCATATGGATCAATTTGTGGGACTTAACCAACTTTTTCTATCAGGTACGTTCTCAAGTCATCTGTGGTTTCAGCACTTTCGTCTCTTACATTGAAATCCAGGTAGGTCGTGATCGACTTCGCAACGAGCTCAGGATTAGAACTCATAGACCATGCTGTAGAATAGTTTAATACTGCATAGATTTTACCAGATGCAAATTGTGATTTTAACCTGGTTTTGATGCCCATCGATTTTATTAGCAAGTTTCGGATCGAAACTCATGTGTTAGATCGTAAAATCCGAAGATTCTTATGAGTACAATCACGGTTTTAACTACCTTGCTCAAGGAAATTGACATTGCCTTGCTACTGCTGCTATTGATTGCTGGTGAGGTATTCATAGTATAAAATCAGCCTTCATGTTGCTTTTGCAGCTCCAGTGATCTGAGTGCCCTTCACCAGCTCTTGGTTGATCAGCCTAATATCCCCAAAGAAGAAGGTTAAGTAACAAATGCAGAACTAGTTTCCTCGGGAGAGTGTTGATCAGCATTAATGCAACAGAGAGCTTCTGGGTTCTACATCCTGATTCCGTTTGCTCATTCTTCTTTGCAGTGCAATCAATCTTCGACATCATCTTCGCTGAAGATATATGTTAACAACCTGTAAGTGAAACAATGTTCACTCCCTGGAAAAAGGACAACGGCGGGTTGTACTTTTGTAGACAATTCGATCGTTTGAAGAAGAGTGATTGAAGACCGAATCGCAGATGTGCAAAGTTATGAATGTGAGACCATATAGGCTTTGATAGAATGAATTGAGGTGGAGGCTAAAGTTGACCAATCTGTTAGCCAAGACTTTTGAAGATGAAATTTGCTCACACCTGGTTTGGTTTGGTCTTTTTAGTGATTACTACATTGTTGGACAAGGTGATTGTTTTATTAGCTACTCCAAAGTTTTTCAATATGATTTGTTTCAAATTAAGAAAGCTGGATGAAAACGTAGAGGAAGCTGAACCAAAATTATTACACAATTAAAATTGGGTGACTAAAAGATCAATTGTGGATTAATATAAGGACGACTGACGTGGTTTAAGGTTGCCGGGAGCGGTCACGGCCTCACGGGTAAAAAGTAAAAACCTCAACTGACGGCGGCAAGAAATTTCCCGCGCTAGGGAGACGTTTGTTAATGGCGGTTCTCTTTTTTCACCTGAACATTTTTCGTCAATGATTTCATGAAGAAAAGGTACTCAGCCCTGCCTGGCCTTCAAGTGTGCAAACAAAACCACTCTGGATTGCCGCCCTGCCGGAGGCCGGAGCTGCTGCTTTCCCGGCAATCCGGTGGCTCCCACTGGCCAATTTTCTTAATCAGGTGAAATAATTAAGCGTTGACAGCTTGGCACAGCACCAAACCCCACCATCTCCTCCATTTCAACACACACTCTGTCTGTCTCTCTCTCTCTCTCTCTTCCGTCATCGGTGATTTACTAGCCATATTAGGAGTCAACCTTCTTCGTCGTTGTCCAAATACAACAAAGGGCTGTACGGAGAAACTCTGAACCATTTACTCTTTGTTGGGTTCCTTTTGTCGTTTATCTTCTTCTTCTTCTTCTTCCAATTTCGACGAGACCCAACAAAAATAAAAACAAAAAATCACCAGCTGCAGAAAGAAAGAAAATCGTTCCACTCGATTCCCTTCCGCCGGCGGCCCCCATTTGTTTCAACCCAATTCCGCTATTTCTCTCTTACCCAATCGTATCTCTTCGCAGCCGAATCTTTGTCCATGGAAATTCCAACTCATCTCCGCTCTTTTGTTCTTCGTGGACAGCCTTTATTGGCAGAGTTAGGGTTTTCTCCACTCTCCGATTGATTTTGGCGGTATGGGTTTCCTTGTTTACTTCGTTCTTTCTTTCCACTTCTGATAAGAATTGGGAACTGCTGGTTGGAGAAAGTCTGTTGCTTTTAGGCTGCTTTGATACCATTTCAGGATTCAAGGGGAACCCAATTTCTCAATCTCTTACTTTTCCTTAATTAGGCAAATTGTGGTTAGTTATCCTGCCTATTTATAGTAGATTTAGGTTAAAGAATTATTGATCAGAGAGCATTTAGTAGATGTGATTATGGCTGATAGTTGGGATGGGAGTTATGACCATGGAAGTCAATCAGAAGAGAGTTACCATTTTGAAAGACTCCACATAGAGCCAATCTATGATTCCTTCATCTGCCCTTTAACCAAGCAAGTCATGAAAGATCCTGTTAGCTTGGAAAACGGCCAGACATTCGAACGGGAGGCAATCGAGAGATGGTTCAGGGAATGCAGGGATAGTGGGAGGAAGTTAGTCTGTCCATTAACGCAGAAGGAGCTGAAGAGCATTGAGCTAAACCCCAGCATAGCTCTGCGGCATACTATTGAAGAGTGGACTGCTAGGAATGAAGCAGTTCAGCTCGACATGGCGAGAAGATCGTTGAATTTGAGCAGTCCGGAGAGCGAGATTCTTCAGTCGTTGCAATATGTTCAATATATATGTCAGAAGAGTCGTTCGAACAAGCATGATGTGAGGAACAATGAGCTGATACCAATTATTGTTGATATGTTGAAGAGTAGCAGTAGAAGAGTGAGGTGTAAGGCATTGGAGACTCTGAGAGTTGTGGTTGAAGATGATGATGATAATAAGGTTGGCGTTCAATGCTTTTTGATTCTGTGTAGAGCTTATAGTTTGACTACCTTGGATGCAAACTAGTAACTTGATACTGGTTTACTTGTTTTGCAGGCAATATTGGGGGAAGGTGATACAGTCCGGACAATTGTGAAATTTTTGTCACATGAGCAATCAAAAGAGAGGGAGCAAGCTGTCTCGTTGCTATATGAGCTCTCGAAGTCGGAAGCTTTGTGTGAGAAGATAGGTTCAGTGAATGGAGCGATTCTGATATTGGTTGGAATGACGAGTAGCAAGTCTGAGAATCTTGCTACTGTTGAGAAGGCTGACAGAACACTGGAGAATCTGGAGAAGTGTGAGAACAATGTCCGGCAGATGGCTGAGAACGGTAGACTGCAGCCTCTTCTGAATCACATTCTTGAAGGTGCAGCTTTCACTTGCCCTGATATTTTCAAATCTTCCCTTCAGTTTGTTGTGTTACAATCGGATGGAAAAGATTCTTTCATTCCTTCTTTCCATCTTTGAGGTTATTCAGTTTGCTCTAATCTTCATATTCTCTAAAGCTTTCGATGGCTCTTATTTGTGATGTAACATAATGAGGAACATCATTTTGCAGGTCCTCTAGAAACCAAGCTCTCAATGGCATCTTATCTCGGCGAGCTAGTTCTCAGCAATGACGTCCAAGTTCTCGTGGCCAGAACCGTCGGCTCATCTCTAATCACCATCATGAGAAGTGGCAATCCACAGTCGAGAGAAGCTTCACTGAAAGCTCTAAACCAGATCTCATGCTGCGAGAAGAGTGCCAGAATCCTTATCGAGGAAGGAATCCTTCCACCACTTGTCAAGGACCTCTTCACTGTGGGTGCCAATCAACTCCCCATGCGTCTCAAAGAAGTCTCCGCCACAATTCTCGCCAACGTGGTGAACTCAGGGTACGAATTTGATGTGATCCCGGTTGGTTCAGATCATCAGACACTGGTTTCGGAAGAGATAGTTCATAATTTGCTCCATTTGATCAGCAACACGGGCCCTGGTATTGAATGCAAGCTTCTCCAGGTTCTGGTAGGGTTGACATGTAGTCAAGCCACTGCTCTGAACGTGGTAGCTGCTATCAAGAGCTCGGGAGCTATCATCAGCTTGGTTCAGTTCATTGAAGCTCCACAGAAGGATCTCCGGCTAGCCTCCATCAAACTTCTGCAGAATTTATCCCCTCACATGGGACAAGAGCTGGCGGATGCACTACGTGGCACAGTGGGCCAGCTTGGGAGCTTAATCCGAGTGGTGTCAGAAAACTTGGGGATCACAGAAGAGCAAGCTGCCGCTGTTGGTCTCTTAGCCGAGCTTCCTGAGCGAGACTTAGGCCTCACGCGACAGATGCTGGATGACGGAGCGTTCGAGCTTATCTTTTCCAGAGTGGTGAAAATCAGACAGGGCGAGATTCGTGGGACCCGATTTGTAACCCCGTTTCTCGAGGGACTGGTCAAAGTCCTCGCTCGGGTCACATTCGTGCTAGGTGACGAGCACGATGCTGTGTCGTTTTGTCGCGAGCACGAGCTTGCTCGCTTGTTCATCGAGCTGCTTCAATCCAATGGTCTCGACAATGTTCAAATGAGCTCGGCCGTGGCATTAGAGAATTTGTCTCAGGAGTCCAAGAACTTGACCAAACTGCCTGACCTGCCCACCCCGAGCTTGTGTTCATCGGTCTTCCCATGTTTCAGCAGACAGCCAGTGATCACCGGGCTGTGTAGGCTCCACCGGGGGACCTGTTCCTTGAAGGAGACGTTTTGTCTGTTGGAAGGGCAGGGGGTCGAGAAACTGGTGGCCCTGTTGGATCATAACAACGAGAAAGTCGTCGAGGCGGCTCTTGCTGCTGTTTGCACGCTTCTGGAGGACGGTGTGGACATCGAGCAAGGGATGAAAGTGCTCTGCGAGGCGGAAGGGATTCCACCAATCATCGAAGTGTTGGTCGAGAAGAGGACGGAGAATCTTAGGAGGAGAGCTGTGTGGGCAATGGAGAGGCTGTTGAGGTCCGAGGAGATCGCGTACGAGGTTTCTGGGGATAACAATGTCGGTACTGCCCTCGTTGATGCGTTTCAGCATGCTGACTACAGGACCAGGCAAATTGCTGAGCGTGCGTTGAGACATGTAGATAAGATACCCAACTTCTCTGGGGTGTTTCCTAACTTGGGTGGCGGTTGAATGCAGAAAGTTGTTTGTTTATTCTACGTGGAGCAGTTTTCTGAGTCTCATATCTGATGATTCCATTCCATGGTTAGTTCTGTTTTTCGTGTTCTCTCAGAGTGTCGAGCTGCTGCATATATTATAGATGTTTGCTTTGTTGTATAATTGTGACCAGATTTTTCTCAGTTGTAGAGAAATTTCCAAATGGTTCATCTGGGTTTTGTGCTTTATGCTGTTTTTTAAGAACAAATGTGGCATGTTAGTTAACCTCCGACAAATTTACTATTACAAGAGCCATATGAATTTTTCAAGCTGTAACGACGCCAGTAATGGGATAAAGTTTGTTATTAAAAAAACCATGAGCAAAGATGAAGAATACAAATCCTTGTATGAACAAAGGCAGGGGGGAGGGAAATGAAGCCAGCAAGCAAATCATCATATATCCAAAGAATCGACAAAATGGAATTCGCAACTCGTACTATTTCTCCTCCTGCAACTAAGAAACTTCATGGAAACTTCACAGATTCAGCATTGTCACAGAAGATTTAAAACAATTGCAAGAACAACAGGCATCAATTCCATCGAGAGAGCCAGTCAATCCTGCCATGGCCTTTCACAGATGCAGCACAGACAAGGATTTCGTCACGCAAGAAGAAGAATCAAGCTCATGACCCACATGACTCCTAGAGACATGCCTCCAGCTGGTCGCCCCTGAATCAGAGACATCACACACAGTGGAGAAATCCAGCAACTGACCGAATATCTTGAACATCTCTATCCCATATATCTGCCCTCTGTCGGCTACAAACACGGCATTCCAATCCATAGGAGCATCAGGATGGACCGACACTTCACTCCAATTCAGGCAAACGAGATCAAGCTCCCACATTTTTCTTACAGCCTTGTTCCTCTGCCCGATTCGGCCATCCCCTTCACACCATGAGACCGAGAGCATGAATAGTCGGCCATTGGAAGCCACGAGCTTAGGGCAGTACTCATGAACTCGAGGAGGGAAGGGGGAAGTTTGGATTCCAATCCAGAACCCCTTCTCTATGTCATACCCCATTAGCTTGTCAATCTCCGAGTACACGTAGAAGATCCCATTGCAGACAACTCCGGAACTAACTGCTCCGAAATCCACAGGCAGCCTTTGAATCTCTGACCATTTGTTGGTCAAAGGATCATAGATTTCTCCAGAGTCCAAAGGCTCATCCCATGGCCCGAGTCCTCCCACTGCAATCAGCACGAACCTCTTGCTACATTTGGGATTCAACCGATTGCTGCTTCTCTGCCTCATGAACTTGTGAGAGTGAGAGTGCGAGTGAGACTTTCTGTTTGCCATGAACGGCACTTCATTATACTGCCGCCTGAGTGATAGCCTGTGAGGATCCTCATACACATCGGACACCCCACCAATCTTCGACCTAGGAAAACGCCTCTCCTGATGATATTGATGCGCAGAATAGAAATCCGGACCAACCTCGGATGCTCCAAGTACCGGCATTGATCTTGCATACCTCATGGCGGCCACTTTCCGCCATGATTTGGTCACGGGGCTAAACACCATCACCCCTTTGTGAGTCTTGAACGAGCTCCAATCTAGTCTCCCTGGTTGGCCGAGGCTAGAACGGCCTCCCACCACATAGATATCGTCGTCATGAACGCTTTGAACAGAGAACATGAACCTCCCTTTAAGAATTTCAGCATCAATTTTGTGCCATTTGTCTTGGCAAGTGTCGAAAGCATGAATCTCACCGGAGCAACATCCATCCCTGACAGTTCCAAACAGAAACAGCCATGGTGTCCTATACAAGCCTTCCCATCTCATGGTCAAGAACCTAGGGCTAGTAGTCAAGTTCTTCCATTTCTTGCAGACAAGGCGAGCATTCATGAGACTGGTTAGAGGAAGCCTTACCAGGCAAAGCTCTAGAATGTCGTCTGGAAGAAAGATGTGCAGCTTGCTGGTGTCCATTGGATTCGCAATCGGAGGGGCTTCAATCTGCAAGCCCCTCCTGCTGTGCTTCTTCCAAAACATTTCTCTAAAGAAGCAATCGACTCCCGTTTCTTCCCCGCCGCAGATGGGCTTGTAAGGCGTCCTGCTGGCTTCATCGCTGGAAGTAGAGGACCTCCTCCGGCCTCCGGAATCTCCAACGAAATCATCTCCGGTATCGGCTCCGACCTTACAGCCGCCTCCTCGTCCCATCAAGGTAAGACATTTCAACGAGAATCCATCACTGGCGGGAGAATCGTGATCGGGGGTCGCCTTCTTCCTCAGCTTCTGGCTAACGGTCCTCACCAGGCGGCGGGAGACTGTCAACGCCTCGAAATCGCGGCGGAGCGAGGCGTCCCCGTCGGATAACATTTCCCGCCCGCAGCTAAGTCATGGATCGAAAGCAGAGCTCGGAAAGAAGAATCAATGAGACGAACCCAGGAGACAATCAAGTAAACGGGATACTGGGTTTCGGTTTTTCTCCCACTTACATTAGAGGGAAGGAGAGAGATCTGGTCTCCAGAGCTAACAAAGCGAATCTAAATGGGAAATGAAGAAGAAGAAGAAGAAGACGAGTAGGTGAAAAGGGATTTTGGAAGTTGAGAGGAATTAGCTGGGAAGCGAAGCAATGGGAAGAATAGAGATGTGAGGTTGAGTTGAGAGAAGGTTTTCCACTAGATTTTGTTTCAGTGGGGGAGAATGATGAAGAAGAACGACGGACGACGACCGTTTGGGATGGCGAGGGAATTAGTAAAGCGACCCTCCATCCCCGACCGACCCTGACCCCATCTCTCTCTCTCTCTCTCCTTTTCTTTTCTCGTCTTTCTTCTTTGTTTTTCGATTTTCTCCCTTGATTTTAGCCTTTTTCATAACTAAATAATTAAAAGAAGTTAATGAATCATATCAGTCGGTTGGACTGATTAATGACCAAATCGAAGGGTTGTTCAAGGTTTTTAGTGTGCCTAATACTGTTTTATTATCAAAGCCTATACAATCTTTTTTAATAAGTTAACTATTATAGTTGAGTGATTGGATTTTGCTTCGAATTCAACTGAGTACTTACCTGAACGTGTGTTTATCAATCCCCTCAACTCAAGAAAATGCTCTCAACTGCGACTAACGAATCTCTTGCTCCGGCGTTGTCCCTCTTCCCCTCTGATCGGTCGTCAGACACTGCAACTTCTCCGACAGCCTCCATCTCTTCGGTTACAGAAGCGGGAACGCCTGCTGTCGAAGCGGACATGCTCATTGACTCTACTTTCATAGAGGTGCATCCACGACGTCAGGAAAATGGAGCTGAGGTGGCAACAGCGCAGACCCAGCCCGATCCTGATCAAGGAACCATAGTGGCTTCCCCGAGAAAGCCCCAGGCCAAATTCTCCTATGCTACAGCCCTGACGGGCTGGAAGACCTCGACAATCAATCAGAACACGGCAAATCAGTGGACGCCAGTGGGCGCAAATGATCTCGTTCCAGGCGAATGGAATGGCGAACCGGCTCTTATGATTTCCACCGGTTTTAAGGACAGAATCTATGCGCCGTGGCAGCGGACGCTGGTGGTGCGTTTGATTGGGACAAAGATCTGTTTCACAACGCTCTACTCTCGATTACGGAGCCTTTGGAGGCCTACCGGCTCGATGGAGATCCTAGACCTTGATCATGATTGCTTTCTGGTAAAATTGAGCAATGAGCAGGACTATTTTCGTGCCTTAACGGATGGGTCATGGGTTATTTTTGATCATTATCTGGTGGTCCAACAATGGACACCAAAGTTCAAGGTCTCAGACCCTCTTCCCAAGACGATGATCGTCTGGGTTCAGCTACCAGCGCTTAAGGTTCATTTTTATCACAAGGAGGTGCTGACCATGCTTGGGAATCTCATCGGAAGAACAATCAGGCTCGACTATCATACTCTGAATCTCGAACGTGCCAAATTTGCCCGCATAGCGGTGGAGGTGGACCTATCCAAGCACCTCGTCCCTAGAATTTGGCTGGATGACGCGTTGCAGAAGGTAGAATACGAGAACCTACCAACGGTATGCTTCGAATGTGGGAAAATTGGTCACACAAATATGACCTGCCCTCAACTGCGCCAGCCGACGCCACCGACGGTCCTAGCCATCACCGGCGGGGAGCTCCGGAACAATGAGGTTCCGTTGGAGGAGGATCCGAGCCCGGGATTCGGACCGTGGATGCTTGCTACCCGCAAAAGCCGAAGGAATCCAAGAGAGTCCCCGGTCAAGAAAGGAAAGCTGGAGAATGATTCTGGGAACAAAATCGACGGAAATGTGACCAAGTATGGAAATAGGGGAACCCCGCAAAAGGAAGGAGAGATCTCTCCACAAAAACCGCCAACCCACACTGTTTCAATGCTGCAACGGACACCTAATCAAGAAAGGAAAGGGGGTGCGGACAAGAAAGGGAAGGAAGAAAACAAGAAAGGGAAAGAAAAGGTTGGGTCTGTGTCTAACGGTAATGACAAAGGGGTGTTGGGCTCCTGCCCTGAGAAATCAGCAAACGGGCCGAAGCCCATGGCTGACCCAAAGAGAGCCTCTACTTCTTATCATCCGATGGAGAGCCCAAGATCGGATAACAAAACCCGTTTCCCTCAAACCACCCGGCCCAGTCCTCCAACATACCACACCCATACCGGGCCCAATGGGACAGTCATGCAGATCGTTGACCTCCAAGCTTCCTCGATCGGGAAACAGAATAGCGCGGCCTCTCCTCTGTCTCTACCTTTAACCACGACCAGGATGAAGAAGAACAAAACGTCGAAGCAGGGCAATCGGCGATCCCCAGCCAAGCTCAATCCGACGAAGAGCCTACAAATATGGACCCCGAAAAAGGATAAGAAGGCAAAGTCCAAGGCTAGAATCGCGTCACTAACTCTGCAGGAGATTCATGGCTGGACGAACGCCGCCAAGACAACTCCTCTTTCTTTGGAAAAAAAATGGCACATCCGGAATGGAGGAGGCACCTCTGACAACCTCTAATCCGGACGAGCCGGAACCCTTCTCCAATTGATGATTTCTTCTAGCTTCTTTTCCTCTTCTGTTCTTGTTGTTTTTCGTCTGTTTTTATTCTTATGTCTATGTCAACCCAAACTAATTTAAAAAATTTCAACTAGAATGTAGGCGGTGCGGGAAGCAGGGATTTTGTTCGTTCTCTGAAGCTTGCTATCCAGACTCACCGGCCAGACTTTGTCATCTTGCTCGAGCCTCAGATCAGCGGGGTAACGGCGAACTCCATATGCGATAAATTGGGTTACCCAAACTCGATTCGGGTGGAAGCTGAAGGCCGAAAGGGAGGAGTGTGGGTCTTCTGGGACGGACAACTCTTTTCCACCCAGCTTATTTCGGCTTGTAACCAGCACATTTCCCTTCGAATTGATCATAACAATGGGCGACCCTGGGCTCTAACTGCAGTATATGCCTCGCCCAAACAGAGTAATCAGCACACACTTTGGGATAGCATCATTCAGCAGAGCGATTGGATTGATACCCCCTGGATCTTGACGGGAGATTTCAATGCCATTAGATCTGCAGAGGAGAAGTCAGGGACGCCAGCAACTAATACCCACAGGCGCTGTCGCCTTTTTAATGATAGGATAAATGAGGCTGAGCTCATTGACCTCGGGTTTTCGGGGCCTATTTATACCTGGACGGGGGGAGATGACCAGAGGACTTATAAGGCCAGCAGACTGGACAGAAGTCTCTGTAACCTGAGGTGGAATGAGCGTTCCCGAATACTACTGTGCTTCACCTCCCCCGTCTTCACTCGGACCACTGTCCGATCCTCACCACTGTCAAGTGCGGCAACGGGAACAGCAGCAGACCTTTCAGGTTCGAAGCGGCCTGGCTTACGCATAGTAACCTGAAGGATTTCGTATAAGAAGTTTGGGATCCGACTGCAGAGCTTCATAATGGGCTGTCCAATCTCGCTGATAAGCTACAGGTTTGGAATGCCAATGTTTTCAGGAACATTCAGAGGAACAAGAATCGACTGCTAGCGCGCATCAAAGGCATTGAAACCAGACTGGCAAGCTCTTTCAACCCAGGTCTAGCCAAACTCCATTCAAAACTTGAAATCGAGCTGGATAAGGTGCTTGAGCAGGAGGAAATTCTGTGGTTCCAACGTTCAAGGGACAATTGGGTGAAACATGGTGAGCGAAACACCGCCTATTTTCATCAGCAGGCAAACATTAGGCGAAGACGCAACAAGATTGAAGCCTTGCGGGACGAAAACGACAACTGGGTGAGCGAGCCTCAATCCCTTGCACTAATGGTTTTTTATTTTTTCACTAACCTTTGCATGCAGGATAACTCCTTTTATGAGGACAAGCTCCCAAAGAATGCTTTTCCTCGGCTGAATCTACAAGAGCTGCTTTGCCTCCTAGGACCGTTCTCCATCGCGGATATCCACAAGGCCATCTTCGAAATGAAGTCCTTTCAGGCGCCTGGTCCAGATGGTTATCACACAGCCTTCTACCAACAAATGTGGCAGGTGGTTGGAAAGAACCTAGCAGAAATGGCGATGACTTTTTTCAACACAGGCTCGCTTCCGGCAGCTATTTCGGCTTCCACCTTAGTCTTGATCCCTAAGGTGGAAAGACCGGAGAAGGTGGCGCAACTTCGAACCATCTCGCTCAACAATGTTAGTATGAAAGCCATCACCAAGGCAATGACAAACATGTTGAAGCCCCTGATGAGGAAGCTGGTTTCGCCTAGGCAGAGCAGTTTCATTCCCGGGAGACAAACCTGCGGACAACATTATTGTGGTTCAGGAAGTCTTACACTCTTTCAGGAAGAAGAAAGGAAAGAAGGGAGGGATGATTTTCAAGATCGATTTGGAGAAAGCCTATGACAGGCTCAGGTGGGATTTTCTGCAGGATACGCTCAAGGAGGTTGGCTTGCCTAGCACCTGGATCAACTGTATTATGACCTGTGTGCAGCAAAACCAGATGTGAATCCTGTGGAATGGAGAGCTCTCGGACCCCATTTCTCCTTCGCGGGGCGTTCGTCAAGGAGACCCTCTCTAACCCTATCTTTTTGTTCTTTGTATGGAGCGTTTGTCTCATAGAATTGATGAAGCGGTTAACCGCGGGGAGTGGAAGGCAATTAAGCTCTCGGCAAATGGCCCACCACTGACCCATCTTTTCTTTGCAGATGACCTCTTACTTTTTGCGGAGGCGGAGACACGTCAAATTCAAGTCATTAAACAATGTCTCGAGGATTTCTGCTCTAGCTCGGGGCAGAATGTAAACTATAACAAGTCCATTATGTATGTGTCCCCTAACATTGCTCGCAAGAAGGCCGAAAGGATGAGCCGGATAGCCGAGATCCCCCTGAAACCTAACCTGGGAAGGTATCTCGGAATTCAGGTGATCCAAGGAAGGGTAACGAGAGGGCGATATCAGTCTCTGATTCTGCGCATACAGAAGAAAATGGCTCCTTGGAAGGCTAAACGCCTCTCCTTTGCAGCTAGACTGACTGTGGTAAAATCTATTGCGGCATCCCTTCCGGTGTATACTATGCAAACGGAGCTCCTTCCTAGCAATGTTTGCAAAAGTATCGACAAGATCAGCAGAGATTTCATTTGGGGGATGAGGAGGACAAGAGCAAACTTCACCTTGTAGCCTGGGATAAGATGACTGCCAACAAGAACAATGGAGGGCTGGGCATCAGACGCACTCGACAGGCTAATTTGGTGATGTTAGCTAAGAGCGGTTGGCGGCTGATCCAAGAGAAGGGCAACCTGTGGGTAAAGGTGATGCAGGCAAAGTACGGGAATCAGAGACAGGGCCTGAGTCTGCTACGACCTATACAGGGAAGTTCCTTTACCTGGTCCAGCTTTACTAAAGCTTCTCAAATTTTAAAAGAAGGTTGTGCTTGGAATATTAAGAATGGGCGCCGCACTAAATTCTGGCTCGATTCTTGGGTTTTGCAGGTCCCGCTTAGGGATATAACTACTAGCGAGATTCCGGGCGAGCAAGTGGATGCGGCAGTGGCAGATTTCGTTCATAAAGATGGTAGCTGGAAGGCCGACCTGTTCAGTCATCTCCTACCGGAGGAGATCTTCCAGAAAATCCTCAGTACGACAGTCGACAAGCTCTCTCAAGAAGAGGATCGGATCTTTTGGTCGGCCACTGCAGATGGCAGATTCTCCACCAAATCGGCCTTTCTTCTTTCCTCGAAGGAGCAGCCAGACCCTGATGAGAAAGTGTGGAAGGTGATTTGGCGCCTACCCGTCCCCGAGAGGATCCGGAGCTTTATGTGGCTGCCTTTCTCGGGCAGGATAGTGACCAATGCTTTCAGGTTCAGCCGAAAGATTGCGGACAACCCGTCGTGTGGAAGGTGCCCGGGGCAGACTAAAACAATCACGCACACTCTTCGATACTGCCCCTCATCTCTCTTCTTTTGGTCTCGACACGTCCCGGTCCAGCAGCACCAGGAGTTTTTTAGCACCCATCACATGGACTGGCTGCGGTCCAACCTTCTTCAGAACTCCTCGACAAGCTCCGGGATCGAGTGGCCTGCTTTCTTTAGTATGGCGTGTTGGCTTCTATGGAAAAACTGGTGCACAGCTTCTCTTCAAGGTATTAACAAAGCTCTCTCAGCCCCAACTCTTGAGTTTTCCATCATGACGAAGACCAAGCTTTGGAATGACTCTTGGCATACCCCGACGGCTATGCCAGGCGGCCGTGCCTTTCCGGTGGAGCGCCAGCTGGCGAATGTAGGGTGGTTGCCACCACCAGATGGGTGGGTTGCTTTGAACACGGACGGGGCATCTAATGGCAATCCTGGGCCGGCAGGTGTGGGAGGCATCGTCAGAAACTCGACCGGTAGATGGTGTGGTGGGTTCGTGGCCAATATCGGATCCGCTACGGCTGCCCTGGCAGAGTTATGGGCCATCAATCACGGTTTGGATCTAGTCTGGAATTTGGGTTATAGAGCAGTCAAGGTGCAGACGGACTCGCAGTTGGCCATACAGCTTATACAGAGCAGAGCATATCCCATTCATCCTTACGCTACTCTTCTCTCGGTCATTCGCAGGAAGCTAGGCCGCGACTGGCTGATCAGCATCTCTCATACATATCGCGAAGGGAATAGAGCCGCAGACTGGCTCTCGAAGCACAGTCTCGTCTATCCCTTCGGTATGCATGAATTTGTTGATCCTCTAATCGAACTAGCTACGGTTCTTCGGGATGATATGTTAGGAACTACTTTTGAGCGACGCATAGCGGTTTGCTCATCATCCTCCATGTAACCCCTTGTTTCCTCTCCCTTTCTTGGCTTTGCCTCCATTAATGCAATAAAAACTATTATAGTTTGAATCGTTATTACCCCTCAGTTTAATCGTAGAAATATAATCCTAAACGTGATATAAATCCTTTTTTTAAAGGTGGTATAAATCCTGTATGTGAAAGATCTATCAATTAATTTTTTTTAACAAGTCGTTTGTCTAGATAAACTTATATATTCACTCTTGAACGATAACGGTAATGTAGATTTTTTATGTTTAATTTCTTGATAATACAAGTGAGCTATTAAAAAAAAATCTGGGTCATCTCCTCTGTAACATCCCGAACCTTTTCCCAACGAAGATATTGTCCGCTTTGGGCCTCGACCCTCACGGTTTTTTACTTGAGGTGCAATTCAAGGTGACTTCCCATAAGATCACCCATCCTTGTTGTACTCCACACTGAGCACGTTTAACTTCGGAGTTCTCACAAAAACTCCTCCATTACACCCCAAAACGCGTCTTGTCAGTTAAGGTCGGTTTCTTACATATGAACCATGGATCTCTCCGGTGCTTTGCCGATGTGGGATTTGCCTAAGGTGTTACATCCTCCTTCCCTTCCCTCAATTTATAAATTTATTTTTTTGTCAAGCAATCCTTGCGGATAACATAGGTAACAGGTGAGGGAGGCCACAACAATTACGGCATCACCTCACAAGGACTCAAAGACATAACAGATAAGAAAAATCATGTA